ATAAAAACAGAGTCTGGGGACTACTTTTTGCCTTAGTTTCGGACCGTGCTTGGGGGGTATGTTTGGAGTGCTGCTCCCCGACTGAACCCCAGAGGTCCCGACCCCTTCCCCGGGCAGGGTTTTTTCGTCCCGGATCCCGCTTCGAGGGCCCCTGCATGGCCCGAGAGCGGGCCTCGGGGGCCGAGGTCCAGGAAGGAACGCCGGATGCAGCTCGGGGGCGGCAAGGAGAGGGGGTGACGACTTAGGGGGGGGGGATATCTTGGCGGGAGCCATGATATTGCGAAGGCCTTACGGCCGATGCCGCCGACCCTGAAGGGGGACGATGAACGACGACGACGACGACGACGAGGCCTTGGGCCGTCTGGGAGCCGTGAAGGCGTCTTGGACAGATCGTCAGGCGAATCGGGGTTCTCGTGGACTCGGGGGCGGCAAAGAGGGGGGTGGTGACTGGGGGGGTGGATATCATGGCGGGGGCCATGATATTTCCCCAGATTTCGTGGCGCCTCTTCTTATTTCGTTACGTCCCTGGTCCCCCCGCTGGGCCGCGCACAGGCCGCCGGCCATGATTTGCACCCCTCCCTCTTGGACACCCCCCTCTTGGCCGCTCCCGATCTGAGCAGATCATATCCTCGGATCTCTGGGTCTTGCAGGATCTTGCCAAGAGCCTATTATTTTTTGTAGTCTGGGCGATAGCGCTCGTGATCGCCCCAGCCCCTCCCCCCCCCCGATCACGTCACGCCGTTTTCCCCAGGTGTCTCAAGGAATCTGCAGGGTTTCAAGAGAATCTCAAGGGTGTCCCAGGAATTCGTCGTCGCGGCTGTTGTCCGCGACCCGGAGGAGGACGAGGAGGACAAGGAGGAGGAGGAGGAGGAGGAGGAGGAGGAAGCCAGATGCTTTCGAGGGCCCCTTCGAAGGATTTGTGTAGGGGATGTCTCGAGCGAAACGCTGATTCTTAAGCGAAGCGCTTGGGCCATCTTGGAGGTCATCCGAGATCGCTCCGAAAAGATGCCTTACAAGAGCGCTTGGGGCATCTCATGTTTGCGAGGATGTCTCAGGCGAATCGCTCATTTTGGAGGTCCGCGAATTAGACCGACGATTTCAACATCCCCATTTTCCGAGGATGTCTCAGGCGAAACGCCCATTATTAACTACATACGACTTAAGATACGACCCCCAACTTCACGATTTGGCGAGGACGTCTCAGGCGGAACGATCGTTTGTCAAGCTTTCCCTGACATGGACGGGAAGCGCGTGAAAGAGAAGAGTTGCGCAAGAATTTGCAGCATCATCGCGATCCACCGGGAAGACGACGAACGGGGAAGAGTTGCGCAGAGCGGCGAAGACGACGACCGGGGAAGAAGGGAGAGGAGGAGGAGGAGGAGGAGGAGGAGGAGGAGGAGGAGGAGGAGGAGGAGGGGGAGGGGGAAGAGGAGGAGGAGGAAGAGGAGGAGGAGGAGGGGAGGGAAAGAGGAGGAGGAGGAGAAGGAGCAGCAGCAGCAGCAACATAATCTCAAAATGCTCCCAAGAATTCCTCCTCAATCCCCTCTTCCTCCTCTGCTCTAACTGCCTCCTCCCGAGGGCCCAGGGGTTCGAAAAAGGCCCAGGGAGGCCGAAACCCGCCGTGATGTGATCGGGGGGGCCAACCCCACCCCCCGATCACAGCGACGGCCAGGGCCCCCTCGCACAGCGGGGGGGGGACGGAAACAAGCTTTTTTGTGAAAGCTCGTGCTCGTGAATCCGGTCGGCCTCGCGCTGCGTCCTGGAGAGCGAAGTCCTTGTCGAGCATCCTGGCGGCCACGCTGGCCACGCTGCCATTGCCTCGGTATCGTTTAACCGATCCCCATCCCCATCTCCATCTCCTTCGAGACCCCCACCAAAGTACCACCCTAGTTGGGGATATACCCCTCGAAACCCGAAGAGGACGACCTATATCCCCATCTGGGGGAGGGGGGTAAATCGGCCAGTGGGGCCCAGCTCACGCCGCTGGGGATGGGGATCGGTTCAACGATACTCACAGCCGCGAGCGGGCACGCTCGCGGCGGAAGCGCCCTGCCGAGCCGCCCTGGCGGGCAGCGCGCGGGGCGCGCGCGCGCGAGGTGGCGAGCGGGCGCGCCCGGGAGGGGGAGCCGCGCGGCCCACGGCAGGGGCGCAGCTACTACTACTACTACTACTACTACTACTACTACTACTACTTCTACTACTACTACTACTACTACTACTACTACTACTACTACTACTACTACTGCTGCTGCTGCTGCTGCTGCTGCTACTACTACTACTACTACGACTACTGCTACTGCGTTTACTGCTTCTCCTACTACCACTACACTACTACTACTACGACTACTAACTACTGCTACTACTACTGCTACTACTACTACTACTACTACTACCTACTACTACTACACTACTATACTACTACTACTACTACTACTACTACGGCTACTACGATTACTTCTACGACTACTACTACTTCTACTACTACTACTACTGCTACTAACTACTACTACTACTGCTACTAATACTACTACTACTACTACTGTCACTACTACTACTATCTACTACTACTACTACTACAACTACACTACCACCACTACTCCCTACGCCTTCTCCTACCTCTTACTACTACTACTACTACTACTACTACTACTACAACTACGGCTGCAACTACATCTACGACTACTATTACTTCGGCTACTGCTACGACTACTACTACTACTACTACTACTACTACTACTACTTTTACGACTACTACTACTGCTACTACTATTTATATTGCTACATCTACGACTACTGTTGCTACTACTACTACTACTACTTGTACTGCTACTACTACTACTACTACTAGTACGACTACGACTTTCACTACTACTACTACTACGACTACTACTACTACTACTACTACTACTACTACTACCACTGCTACTACGAATGCTAGTACTACTACTGCTACGACTACTACTACTACTACTGCTACTACTACGTCTCCTCCTCCTCCTACTACTACCACTACTACTACTACTACTACTACTACTACTAATACTACTACTACTACTACTACCATTACTATTACTACGACTACTACGACTACTGCCACTACTACTACTACTACTACTTGTACTACTACTACTACTACTACTACTACTACTACTACAACTACTACTACTACTACTGCTACTACTACTACTACTACTACTAGTACTACTACTACGACTATTACTGCTACCCCTACTCCTACGC